GCTGAAATTGGTGTCGGCCAATATTTCTTAATACATTCACTTTACTCTCCATCTTTACATCTTGGATCCTATTTTTACATTATATTAATGGGTTTCAATTATTATCCTGTACACTTATTTCAAATTGTATGAAAGCATTAATAAAGTTTTATATGCAGTCTGGTAAACACTTAGGCACACATGCATACATGCACATATCTTAATAGTGAATATATATATATATATATATCCCAGATGTCTTCTATACCACCTCCCTTTCACCACCTATGGCCACCCTAGAACAAACCTGTACATATAGCTTTTCTCCAACTGGAGAATCCCCTAAAGAATCTTCTTATAGGAAAGCATGAGTTAGCGATGTATACATTAGTGAAGATTTTATAGAGGTGTCTTAAGAAACACATTTCTGTCATTTTCCCCAAATCCTTTTGATTATCTTACCTTGAATTTATGTTAGTACTCTTCAGTGAAGGGTCAACAAACTTCTGAAAGAAAGGTAATAGTAAATATTTTCAACATTATGGACTATAGAGTCTCTGGTATAACTACTCATCTCTACCCTAGAAAGGGCATAGACAAATGTTTATGATTGTTCTTCAATAAAGAATTATTTAAAAGAATAGGTGACTACCAGGCCTGGGCTGTGGGCTGTGGGCTGTATTTCACTGACCCTGCCTCACACCTTCCCCACTGTCTGTGAATTGTCCATGAGGCTCAGCTCTAACATCCAGTTTCATCAATGTAACCTCAGCCAAACTGAGGGCTTTTAGGTAAGGGGATAGGACCCTCTCTTCTCAAAGACCACTTTCATTGCATGTTTTATTGCTTAAACACACCCCAGATGGGTCTGTCCTCTCAGATATATCAATACTTAAAAAAAATTTACACAATATATAGTGATCACATAAGAGAAATTTAGCTGCATAAACATAGCTCAATTTAATTCCCAATATATTCTCATCCACATAAACAGTAGTATTTTCAGAGCCTACAGCCTTAGCTGAGGTTAGAAAGATGGCTTAATCCAGAACCAGAAAAACTAGTGCTCATACCTACATTACCCAGCGGCATGACCCCAGGAAATGGCTTTATTATGTGTTATTCTTCATACCTATACTACGAGGGCAGCACTCTACCAACCCAAAGGCCAGGGTCTAGATCAGAAGATCCCTCGGAGTTTCTTTCTGAAAGTTATACAGGTTATCTCCATAATCTGCGTTTTCAAATGATTTCAGAATTTACTGGAGTGCTTGGTAAAGCACAAATTCCTTCACTGGGGTGCTTTGTAAAGCACAGATTCCTGGGCTTCAGCCTGAGTGTCTAGTTCGGGAGAACTAGGAAGGTTTTAAGCGCGCCCAAGTCTCCAGGGAATGCTGACACCAATGCTGACAAGCTAGGGACCACACTTTGGGTATCACTGGTAGAAATCTCACTTGGGGACTCAGTGAAAAGGGAGGCTACAGCTGGTTCCTCTTCATTTTTTCAGGATGGAATTTCCTCCTGCAGGGAAGAGAGATGCGGTTTGCCTGCTGAGTGTCCGCTGTTGGAGCAACATCGCAACAGCTTATTACGGGGTGGAAGGAGGCTGGTGGTCAACCTCCCAAGGGTATGTTGGAGCTTAGAGGATGGATGGGCAGTCAGATAACCATCTGGGGAAGGGTGGAGAAGCGTGGAACAGTTGAGAAGTGAGAGGCAAAAACACCAATATGCAATTCGTTGGCATACATCACTGTTATGGTTCTTATTTGGACACCCCCCAAATCCTCATGTGCTCAGAGGGGGGACCTGTGGAAGGTGACTGAATTAGGGAAGTGCTACATCTGGCTTGGTGTTAGGAAGTGGGGTCCAGTCAGAAGAGGTGGGTCCCTGGGGGAGTGACCCGGAAGAGCATATCTGCCTCCCAGCCCTGCCCTTTCCTTCCTGCTTCCTGGCTGCCATGAGGTGAGCTGCATTCCTCTGCCATGCCTTCCCACCATCCTGTTCCTTCTTGGGGGCTGGCTTACCATGGACTGAAACACGGGTCAAAATAAACCTCTCTTCCATCAAATTATGGGTATCTGGTACTGTGTCCCAGGGATTAGAAAATGAATAAAACAGCCGCCCTCGTAGAACTTCTCTTTCCATACACAGTAAGTTAGCACAAGAGCTGACTGAGGGCTAGCCATGCAGAGGCCTGGCACCATGTATTGCACAGTGGGCAGGGTAGGGTGCAGGAAGAGGTCTCAGAAAGTACAGACTGGCCCTGGGAAATCTCAATGGCATGGAGAAGGTGAAATTCACGTGTGTTCACACACTCAGCAGTTGTATAATTAGGTCACTGGGTCGTGTGACATTAGAGGCAGAGGTTCCTTGGAGGGTGCTGCTGGACTGGAAAGATCTGGGCAGGTTTTCCTGGAGGAAGTGACAAAGGCAGGCCTTAGCTTAGAGGGTCTGGAAGGACCAAAGGGTGGAAAGGTGAGTAAAATGTGAAAGATGTGAAAAGTAGCCTGTGTGAGCCTGGAATTTTAGCAAAGAAGGCCTGAGAGTAAGCAAAGGGACCATCAAACTTGTCTCTGTCACTCCCAATATAAACTCCTTGGGTCACATCCATTTCTGTGTCTCTGTTTCTTTATTTCACACATGAAGGATTCAAGTAAAGAGCATAACTTTCCAAATTTTGTTCATCTTGGCAAGAAGCCAGGCCCCAAAAGAGTGAATGACCAGGATAGGCTCAGTCTTTCCTGCCCCGTCTCTCTTACAGCCAGAGCAGTTCTGCTTTCTTATATTTTCATACTCCCTGCAGAGTTTTATTTCCAGAAAAGATTTGAAAATTGCTCAACTAGGAGCTCCGTAAAGGTTCCTTCTGTTTGCACACAGGTTGGGTTGTGCATTGCTAGATTGGCTGGCCAGTTCTGGAACAGCTGGGAAGCATAGGGGAGTTTAGGATACTGGGGGTAGGGAATAGGGAGCCACTGAAGGCTTATGAGTAGAGTGAAATTGGGACCAAACAAATGCTAGAGACTGATTTGGAAATCTCAACTGTTCAGAAGGTTCTGAATAAAAACAAAGACTGATTTTCCCCCTTGTCAGCCTTCTGTCCCAGGACACTGTACAGTATGCAAAATGAGTAACTGTAAGACAAACACTTTTTCCATCACCCTTCTCAGCCCCGCGGCCCTTCAGGAAGACCTGAACTTCAAGCAAAGCCTTTTTATTTTTCAACACCCACAGCTTCCATTCAGCAATCAGAAGTTTTCCACTCTGATCAAAGGGGCTCAACAGAGAGGACCAGAGGTGCAGCCTGTTCTCAGCAGCCTTGAGCAGATCAAGAGGCCCTGCTACCCACTCACTGCCCATAACCACCAGAGAACTCAACGTTCTCCTTAGATCGGCTACACACCCACAAAACACTGGCTTGCCCCATTCCCATCTCCAATAGCAGACCAAGTGATTGTGACACACGGGCCTTCCAAAACCGAGCTCAACTCAGGACCAAGGGGACCTCAGCTTCCTGGAGTATAAGATGGACATACTACCTACCACTCTACTAGTCCCAAGAAAACACTCATCAATTCATCGAATCAGAATTTATGAATTCATGGATTCATGAGGAAGGATGCCCCACCAATTCCTACATTGAAACTAACTCAGGGGATGCTCAGAAGTTAGAGATCTATGCAGTGATGCAATGATAATACACCAAACTTGGTTTTGGGTATGGGGCATTTCTTTAGTGGGCTCTGGCTCTCAGCAAAAAGTGAACAGAAATGGACCAGTTGCAACCTGGGAGGACCACCTCCAGGGTGACAGCAAATACAGTCTTCCAAGGGCCACATCTGGAGGCAGCTGCTGTGCAGTGATTAATACTTTAAGTGTCATTCTGGCATATAGATCATTAGTAACTACAAATATGACTCAGCTCTGTGTCCTAGGCAATCTATTATATCTAAATTCCAGACATGGCCCAGGGGACTACTTGGGATGTTTAACAGGAATTGTCCGGCACCATCTGCCAAGTCTATTCCCATTCAAGAAGTGATCTTACATCATCTGGGTTGATCTGCGTGATGATTATAATGCAGAGAGAGAAAGGAAGAGCCACAAGGACTGAGACAAGGACACAGAGCTAAAAAGGGGAAAAGCTGACACCGGGCTTCAGCTGTTCGGCCAGCAAGTGCAGAGAAGGTTGGACGATTTAGTGTGGGCTTTGGGGCCGGGGGGGCATTTAAACATGCAGCCAAGTTCTTTCACCTTCGAATATTTTCAACTTTTGCTGGCCGTGTTTTCATCCTTGCTGAGCCTCAATTTTTCCATCTTCAAAGAAGAAATACCATCTGGCTCAGAAGGAAGATGTGAGGATAGAATGAAGCCATACGTACAGCTCCTAGGACTGTGCCTGAGCCAGCAGAGGTTTCATTATTCTAGTCACACACAACACACCATGCACTCACCCCACACCACCACAAACACATCTGCGGCACACACGGGCCCCTCAGTACACTCCATGGGACACCCCCACCCTCTGTTCACATCACAGCACCCTACCTCTCCTCTCCCTACTAATTCCTTTCCCTTTTTCAAGCTTTATGAAAGTCCTAGGGTCATCTACCAGTTTGACAGATCCCAAAATACCCAACAAGAATTTTTGACCAAAAGCTCAAATTTTCCAGATTTCTGTTCTCTCCTGGGATCTCTGAACCTGTCTCCAATTTTTCTGCTGTGACGAATGAGCTTTTTCTCATTTGGATGAATCTCCACAAGTGTGGGCTCTTCTTTCCCAGAGTGGGTGGTATTTCCAGGTCTCAGAAGGCACTGGTGTTATCAGACTGAGCCCCTGGTCACTCTACAGCCATCGGAAGAAAGCAGCTTCCCCAGAACTAGCAAGGAGTTTTATCTGTGAGGTCTTCTGGGCCAGGGGCCTTGCCAAAGACAGTGCAGTCTCTCCAGCAGCGAGGCATTTCTGGCTGAGTCTGAAGGAAACAGAAGTTACTTTGTACACACACACACACACACACACACACACACACACACACAGAGGAACTGTCATTTTTCTACGCGTCTTCTGACATCAGTCACCTTCTCTCTAGCTACAGCTTCTCTGCATTCAAAATAATCCCAGACGATGAAAAATGAACCTCTCCCCCACCCTTGCTGCTGCTGCCTTTTGCCTCACGCCCCCAGAGAAGAGTTTCTCCGCCAGACAGCCGGTGAAGAGTTTTTTCCAAGTCACATGATCCAGGATGAAGGGGGAAAATCCTTCTTGGAACAGAGATGGGCCCAGAACCGAAGATGAGGAGAGATAAGGTGTGATGCAGGGAAGACTATATAAAGAATGGACCCAGGGCTGCAGCACGCACGCAGCCCCAGGACCCCTTGCCCAGACCCAGCCATGCATGTGCCTCCTGGCTCCGTGGCCAGCCACTTGGGAGGCACCAGCCGCAGCTACTTCTGCTTCATCACCGCCACACTGGCTCTGTGTCTCGTCTTCACCGTGGCAACCATTATGGTCCTGGTGGTTCAGAGGACGGTGAGTGGACTGACCTGCCTTGGTTTTCCTTTCTGATTTAGGATCTGCTTCCCCCAGAGAAAGGGCTTGGGAAACAAATGGATACATTGTGATTGGGGAACAAAAAGTAAAAATAAGAATAGATAAAAGAAACAGGAACTTAACTCCCTGAAGTAATTTGGATTTTTGAGAGAAATGTTATTGGACCATCAGTTCAAAACTTTCCGAGCCTACATGAGCCAAAAGAATGGAGGGAAGCTATTGGCCTTGAGAAATTAAGATTTAAATCCTGCTGAGCCAGGGACCCGTTGTACCAAGAAAGGAAGCACTGGGGAAATCAGTTTGTTTGTACAACTTGGTATTGCGGCTTCAAAGTCCTCAGACATTCTAGGTTATTGTAGCTTGGGTGCAATGTTTCTAAGGTTTCTGAGGCCTAACTCACTGCCAAGAGTTTTCTGATGCTGTTGTGTTTGTTTGTTTGTTTGTTTATATTTAACAAAGAGCTAAATTTCTGAAGCCAATGTCTGGCAGGGAACACAGCAAGAGATAAGGCTAGGGTTTCTCTGAGCTTTGGTTATTTCAGTGTTAAAACCCACAAAACAAATCAAAAGTTTCCTCGCAAGCCACTGCTTTGAAGAGTTCAGGGCATCACAAGAAACAGAACAGAGGGGCAGAGAAGAAAAATATTTTTGACACCTGTTCTCTCTGAGACATGGCAGAATGTTAAGTAATCATGGGGTACAGATTGTGTAGTGTCAAACTGTCTAGAGAGATTTACTTTATTTGAAGTCAGGGGTAAGATTTGTGGCTGAAAACAGAAGAGATGCAGGAGAAAGTTTCTTCATATTTTCGAAAATTGGTGTTAACAGAGAATCCGTTAGTATATGTTAATAAGGAAATATTGCACAACAGTATGGAGGGCTCATTATTTTGTTGGTAAAATTTTTGCTTATCTGGATAATGGAAGAACTGTACCCAAACATATCATCCTGCCAAAGTGAGAATGTTTCTGTTTATGACTCTCACTTGTCATGGTGTTATAATCCTATAGAATTCGCTCCAGTTTTTCTTTAGTTGTCTTGGGCCAAAGGATCTATGACTCTTCTTAAAAAGAACTGGGCATTAAAAGGCTTTGATATCTATTTCTCAAGTGTCTTCAGGCTTTGAAATTTAAATGAAGCTTTGAAGTTCATATCTCAGTATAAGTAAAAAAAGGGGGGGAGTGGGAGATTGAGAACATTCGATTCGGATGGAAGAATTTGTAGAATTCATCATTTAATGGGCTTATCTCCATCTAATAGTAATGATGTTCTAGAAACATCCAAGGACATCTTTCCTTCTGTACAGACTATAACTGCTGTGGTTGGAATTTGGGATGAAGTAGAAGTGTGTGGCCAGAGACCTTGAAAGAGCTCTTTGCGGGGAGGAGGATGCAGGCAGAGCTTCTGGAGGTGGCGGGAATCGAGGTGGTGGTGGGAGAGAACCGTGATGAGCGAGAGAGAGCTCCAAAGCAGTCCTCATTCAAATCCAACTTAGAGTCAGATTGATTTCTTCTGTGAAAGAGCTAGAGTGGATCTTTCTGCCTTATTTTTATAAATGCAGAAAATGAGGAACAAAGAGGGAACGAGCTTGAACTAGGCCACCCCAAGAAACTGCGAGTGTCAATACTGCTGGGTTGGTTGCTTGATGAGAATTCCATTCCCTCTGCCACTGTAGATGGTCCCAGAAGTATCAAGAAACTGTTCTGACCTTTCTCTTGGAAGCTTTACCTTCTTGTGCAGTTGTTTCCTTGATGTACCCTTCACGCTTAGATGTGAAAACATGCACATCACAGTCTGAGTCTATGATTTGGTGTGCTGTATTTTCTTTTTCTTTCTCTTTCATGTGTACGTGTGTGACTGGGGATTAAGCCTTTTTTTGAATGTTAAAACAGGGTCTCACTGAGTCACTAAATTGCCAAGTCTGGGCTTAAACTTGCAATCCTCCTACCTCTGCCTCCCACAGCATGAGGATTTTAGGTATGCACCACCCTACCTGGCGGTGCTGGGACATTTTTTAACTCATAAAATCTCAGTTACTTGTTCCCAACCCATGGCCTGTAATTTTAGTAGTACTTGTGATATTGTGTCAAATGCTTCACATGTACATTTTTTGTTTAAAAATTTATCTGACATTAACTGTGTTCAGAATTAAGAACATGGAATACCTATAGCCTGACTTGTCAAGGAAGCATCTGATGAGAAGAAGGAATACAGACTGACCTTACAGCAGGTGGAATTTACATAGCAAAGAGGTTCACCAGGACCTCTGGAAGAGAAATTCAAAGGAAAAACTCAAGACGCTTAGGCTTACATCCCCTTATTAAAACTGGGAAGGGCTGAGGGCCACATAGCTCCTTTGGGGTGTGACAGGGACAGGAGTGGCAAACCATGAGGATGGTTTTACTGCTACAAGAAGTCCCACAGTTCTTGCTAAAAGGCCACATCTATAGACAAAATTTTAAATAGCTAAATCATGACATATAATAAGCAATGCAAAGTAGGCATTTAGGGTTACATAAGATCATAAGATAGGGAGAGAATGTGTTTCCCCAGCAGGTTTAAGAACTCACTGGAGACTGAAGTTTGTCAGGTTGGTTGGTGAAACAAACAATTTCCAATGGGTGGGAAAGGGAGGCCAGAGCCCTGGCACTCCTGCTAACAGCAAAGGGCTGGGGGAGAAATAGGGTGTGTAGGGTCATCAAAAGATTGCCTTGAGGTTTGCCTTAAAGATCAAATAACTCCAAGGTCAAACTCCATCGGAGAGACAAAGGAGGAATTGAGGTTTCAATCTCAAATATTTATTGAGTATCTACTATGGACAGGCCATTGTTCTAAGCATTGGGTACATAGCCAAGAAAACCAATAAGTTCCTACTTTTGCACTGTTTAGGGAGCTTTCTTTTGGAGATTCATTTCAAGTCTCTGTGGTGGTTGTATGCTTATTTGTATTTAAATCTGTATATTCTTATCCAATGTTACATTAAGAAAAGTTATGAGCAAATAAGAATAAAGGGAAAAAAATAAAAGTCTTTCACATTCTCCCCATCCCACCACCAATCCCTCTTTGTTGAAATTACCACCGAGAACAGATTCTCATGTGTGCTTTAAATTTGATCATGTACAAATACATAGTATCCATGTCATTCTCATAAACCCACACCTTGCTCTGTATGTCTTAAAGATCTTTCCATGTCAATGTGTAGAAGTCCATTTAACTTTGTTGAAGGGCCACATAAGATTTCATTGTATGAATACTTCAAAATCTATTGAAAGTGTGGCTAGTGAGAGACACTCATATTTTTCTGTAGGATTTTTACCCTCTGGGTGAACTTCCAAGTAGGAAGGATAAATTTACCCTGTAGGGTAAATTCCTAGAGGTGGGAATAGAATGTTTATTTTCACCTCAGTAAATGTTGTCAATCAGCCTTTAAAGAGATCGCAGCAGTGTCCCCCTTGAGGAACTAAAATCCTGTCACAGAGACAACTGTCACCTCAGTATGGAGAGGAAGAAAATGTATTTATTACTGAGTCAGTACATAAGTGTCAGTGGCCACTAGGCAGCTTGAGAAATGCTAGAGAGTCCAGGTGGGACTTCACAGAATTTATATACCAAAGCAAAAGAAAAAATCCAGCTTCTCTCACCTCCTTATAAAAAGAAGGAATGCACAATGACACAGGCTCCTGGATTACACCAGAGATAGGTGCTTACATTTCAAGACGGGCTTGAGGTCCTCAAACTTAGAGACCACTTATTTCCTAAAGTAGGTGCCTGCCCTTAGCCATTCCAGGAGAGACAGTACAGTCACATTCCAAAAGGTCAAAGCAAGAGCTCAGGATTGTCCTGTTTCAAACACAAGACATTTCTAGAAAGAAAGAGAAAGCAACTGCCTCTTTTCTCTTTGTAAGCAAAGAGAATTATTTAAAAAAGAAAAAGCATTCTCACAGCACCAACTACCTCTCAGTAGCAGTGACTCTGAGGGCAGTGGTTGTTGGCAGTGGTAGCAGGATCTTTGGGGTTATTTGTTCTCAGATACAACACAGGGATGGCCTGACCCACCCCATGACACTTCGCTCTACCTAAATGACTGTCTTCTCTTCCATCTGACATCAATTCCATCTAAAAAATTTTTTAATCCTATAAGAGGGTTCTCAAGAGCAAGTCCTGGGCTGGGCTATGGAAGTATGAATACATGGGCTGAGCAGAATCTGCCTCCTTGGAGCTCTGCTAAACTGAAGAAAGGAAACCCAGGAGCCCAAATTCCAGGCAAAAGGCCATACGCCGTGGGGAGCAGAGCAATTTCTGCTTGGGTGTATAGAGACGTTTGTGGAAGAATTAGAATGAAAACCGAGCCTGCAAAGATCAGGTCTTATGCCCAAAGTTTGTTTTGAAAATATGAACAAATAGAATGAGAAGCAATTGCATAACCTTTCACTGGATTGGCAAGTCTCCATATGTTGCCACAGTTGTACTCTTCATGTAAGTATGTGAAAGTAAGTTGCAGACAGTGGAACCTTTCAGACACAAGTACTTCAGTGCCCCTCTCCTACTTAACACAATGCCGTTAGCACAGCCAAGACAGTTTGTGTTAATTCAGTTATATCACCTCATAGGACTAACATATGGTTCACATTTCAATTTCTCCACCATCCAAAAATATCTTCTATAGATGTTTCATTTTGTATTGCTTGGATATGTAGACTCCAGTCTAGGGTCACACACTCCATTATGTCTAAAGATTATGCCTATTTTAATAATCTAGAATGTTACTATTGAATGAGTGGTCCTGGGAGCTTCCTAGAAACCCAGAATCTCAGGCCCCACTCTCCGGCCACTGTATTTTACAAGTTTCCCCCATGATCTGCAGGAACAATATAGTTAGAGAAGAATCGATCTAACAATCTCCCCTACCCTTTGTTATTTCTTCTTCATGACACTGACTTTTTTGAAGGCTCTAAGGCAATCCTGGTGTAGAAGAGTTCA